TCAGCAGTGTACTTCGTCGATCTGCCTGTTCTGCTCCCCACTCTGTCTCTGGTGAGTCCTCTCACCCTCCGCATCTCTGGCCTGTACCCCAGTTCTATACGAATAAATAAATAAATCTTAAAAAAAAATGGGCAGAAGAGCTTCAAAGACATTTCTTCAAAGAAGAAATGCAGATGGCCAGCAGGCATATGAAAAAATGTTCATCACTTGGAAGGCAAATGAAAATTAAAACCATAATGAGATACCAGTGAGAATGGCACATCTTAAAGCAACTAGCAACAACAGATGTTGGCGAGGATGTGGAGAAAAAGGAACTCTCCTGCATTGTTGGTGGGAATGGAAGCATGTCCAACCACTATGGAAAGCTGTTTGGCAGTTTCTCAGAAGGCTAAAAATAGAGCTTCCATATGATCCAGCAATCCCACTCCTAGGTATCTACACAAAGGACACAAAAACATTGATTCTAAAGGACAACTGTACGACCATGTTTATTGCTGCTCTATTTATAATGGGGAAAATGTGGAATCAACCCAAATGCCCAAAAATAGATGACTGGATTAAGAAGATGTGATACATGTACACACTGGAATAATACTCAGCAATCAATAAAGATAAATGCCTGCCATCTACAGCAACATGGATGGAGCTGGAAGGGATCATGCTTAGTGAAATAACCCAAAAGAAAAAGAAAAACACTGGATGACTTCATTCATAGCAGGAGCATAAGGGATCAGGGAAGAAAAAACAGAGACAAATAAATGCAATAGAGTAAAAATGAAAACAATAAACCACTATAAATCAGAGACATTTTATGGGGGTGGGAGGGGGAATGGTATCAGAACTGGGGTGAGAAGAGTGCACTGGACTGTGAATTGGTAATGGGAGGCCCATGGGGATTACCACTGAGATGGAAAAATGCACAAAATGAAGAATGATGTAAAAAAGATAAAAAATATAATAAAGGAAAAAATATAATTGACATATGGCATATTCAAGTATTTCAGGTATTACCATAATGATTTGGTGTAAAGGAGTAAAATGTCATTATCTCAGATACATAAAAATTATCTTTTTTTTCCATGAGAGAAGAATCCCAGGACTATCTATCTATCCATCCATCTAGAGAGAAGATATACACAAACCCTATAGCAGAGTGACAACCACAATTTTAAGTGTTGAGAGACTGAATATTCAGCCAGAATATTCAGCCAGACCATAAATAAAAACAGAACTCTGAACTACAACCTCCCCAGGAAGCCTGCCTGCTATAAGTCAGAGTTGGAGGAAGTCGGAATGCTATCTTTAGTAACAAAGTAGGAAGCTTACAATAACTTCTGTAACAATGGGCCCCAAATGGCAGGACTTGGGTAGTTACTGATAGCTGCCCTAATTCTGTCTCTTTCAATTTAGGACCATCCAGAAAAAGCCAAATATGTATTCCTAAGCAATTACCTGACTTGTTAACCCACCTCCTGTTTCTCAAGCCAATCTCCAAACAGGACACATGAAGACTTCCTCTGTTTCCGTGCTCTCAAGCTTTCCCACTTCCCTGCTGCCTTCCAGTCTCTGCCAAATGCAAGTACAGTGGTTGATCCTGGAATAATGCAGCAGGCCCACTTCCTGCCATCCATAAGAAAATCCCCAGAGCATAGTAGACACTCTAACCCTCAGTGGTGATCATGTGCTCTCCAGTCTCCGAGGGTGAGGCAAGGGCGGAGGACCCCAGGGAAGTGCAGGCGGATGTGTCAGGACATGTTCTGTGGGTGCTGCTGTCATTTATTTGGCTTGGGAGATGGGATGTTTTTAATACCACTGCTTTGGGGAGTGAACTTTGTTGGGAAGGCAATTCATTAATTTTGACTTGCTCCTCATAGTGGAGCTTCTGTCGATCCCCTGGGCTCATTATGAACTGGGCTGGTTGTCCTGAGACATCTGTTTTGCAATTAGAGTTATAAGCCTGGAACTTGAGCTCATCATCAATTTTGCGAGAAACAGAAATCAGCTTGGAGCATTAGTTCCATAAATTTTTATCTGGAGCCATGAAGCTGAGAGGAGAGTGTGGGTGAGCCATTCTCCAGCCACCATTTGCTCTCATCTTGCACTGAGGATTAGATCTTTGCATACTTCTTGAGTCTGATTTGTCTTTACTGAGATCTGCAGGGTGGAGCAGAAGGTAGAATTATGGGGAGCTGAAAAGGGGGGATAGGTGCTGACAGGGGGAGTAGGACCTGAC